CGAGCATGTTTGGTGGGACGGGGATTAGAACCCGCGACCCGCAGTTTGCGAGTTGAGCTCCCTAACCACCTGGCCATGCCGGGCCCAAGGTGTATATGTATGCTTGATGTTCAAATGTTGAAAACAACGCTTATTGCAGCCCCATTAAACACATTTTAATATATATATATATATATTATGGTGAAATAAATAGAATTCTAGTTTGAAATCTTGCGTTTTCTTGAAAGAACTGTAAAATAAATCTGGCCGGGTGAAACCTTTGATTCAAGGGTGGACTGCTAATTTCTCCTATATGAACTATATTGTTATTATATATCTTAATTTCCTAATTCTGAATAAGATTTCTGTAGTGGTTTTTTTGAATGAAAGCCAATACATAATACAAAATTTGACATATATTTAACTATAAGCTGACTAAGAAACTACATTTCAAACTTTGAATTTTATCTCAATATCTATTAATTTATATATACATGTACAACTTCAACTTCCGATTGTGTTACCCTGTGCCTTGGTTTACGCTATTATAAATTTCTCAAACGGTAGATTGTGTTTAACAAGTTTGTGCAAATCCATTTTAACCTGAAAGCCTAAAAATTGATATTCTATATTTTCCTCTTCCAAAAACCAAAATAACTATATAGTTTTAGTTATACCGATCGGTGTTTAGTAAATAAAAATGTTAATTTCAGTCAGTTATTTAGCTTCTGAATGAATAAAAGCTAATATTATTTTCCATTTACCTTAGGCGAAATATATTTAATATTTTAACGTATGCAATGTATAGGACGTCCTAGTAACTTAAGAAGACAGAAATAAACGTTCCGTCGTATTATACTTTTATTTCCCACGTATATAAAACTTTATATTTATTTTCCTTGTTTTTTATAGTTGCCTTAGTAAAACTATCTGTTGTACATATAATAATTGGAACATTTTCGAATCATATAAACACCTAAATAAAACAACGTAATACATTTACTGACTGGTTGAAGTAAACCAACTTTATTAATATTTATTTTCATTTTCAGGGAACAACTGATTTCACTTACATAACTTAGACAAAATATTAAATACGCCACATCGTTTTAAAACTGAATCATAAAATAGGATTAGTAATTAAACCCACAGTTCAATTGGCATCAAAACAAGACAGGTGGCACACGAAGCTCATAAATGTACATGTATATAAATCTATATCTATATAGATGCGCATAACCTATTCATATAGAAAGCCATATACATAACGAAATGTCACCGCGCGTCATTCATGCGTGGTTACGTATTTCAACATTGAATAGGACAAAATTTACACTAGAGATGATATTCATTAAGACTGAATGTTCATTATACTGTACAATATTAACTAGGAAATACATAATACTTGTTCCAGAGACCCGTCTCAAGCTCGTAATCTCCGCCTTTCTAATCGAAATTTTGAGTTTTAAACCCTCCGATCTTGCCACAAACAAAACGTTCATTTAAAGGGCCTGCCCTGAAAAAAAAAACTTCGAAAGAAACTGATCACCTTAATTAAGTACATGATGGAAATTAAAACACTGACCTTATGTTCGGAGGACTAGACCAATGAAGTGGGAAAGCTGGTAAAACAACACCCCAGCCCAATCCAAACTATTGTAAAACCACTTGTAGGATGTACACATTTACTGGAGTATGTAGATAATGTTTCTTACTTTATTTGCGATTTGTGTCATAAGCGTTAACAGTATTGAAAGTTATTCGATTATGCTACCAATGTTTGTGACATTACAGCACATTCTATTAATATAAAATATTAGACAAAACAACATAATTAAGCTTATAATACGAACTTTGAAACTTATGCTTTTGTTTGGAAAGTTTAATCAGTAATTCAGTTTACGTGTTCGATTAGGATGAACATTTTCAGCTACAACAAATTCAGTCACATTCGGATTTTTTTATGTAGATTTGTTTTTAATGCAGAACATGAATGCAATAACTAAGTCAAAATTTTATATAAAAAAGTGAACGCCCCGTTAAGTGTTGTTCAAGAGCACCTAAACGAGAGAAAGACTCTAGTATATTACAACCTAAAACATCATTATCGATGTTGGTACCCACTGATCAGTCAACGCATTCTTATTTTCAAGTTTGTAAGACCTATAACTTCTTTTCGTTGTAACACGTATCATTTTAATTAATTTAATCTTTAATGACTTTCAAACCCTGCTGAAATGTTGTATTGCTGATAAATATTTATAGGAGATTATCTTCTTTAAAAGTATATGTTATACTAAGTGGTTAAAGTTTAATTTAACTGATTGGCTTGCTTGGGTTAGTTAAGGATTTAATCCAAATTTCTTACTTTAAATTAAACTTTAAAACTAAGGAAAACATTAATAGCAAAAATTTCTATTTAAGTGTACAAAAATTAGCTTTATTGCAAAAATATTTAAAATTGTGAAGGGCAGAACCTTTCAAGTATTTGCGAGTTTTAAAAGTGATTACGATATAGTTATTGATTGATTCACTTAACGTTAATAATCAGTGGAGCCAATATAATTATCACGATCTGCTTAGGTCAAAGTCTTGGTTGATATTCAAGGGGTATTTGATAGATTATTCAAGAGAGAATATTTTGTTGATTCATTTCAAATAATGATGGCTGCTATTAGCGACAAATATCAAACAGAATATTTCACGACACAGTTAGTTTACCTTTTAGCTTCCATGTTGAGTTCTCATACCACCAAACGATTATAACATTTGTGGACTAATTTATTATTATTGATAATATTTACTTCGGATATCTGTTCGTATTTATGACGTACTGGAGTATTTTGTTCACAACGTTCGTCAACATTAAGGAAAAATCAACATTATATCAATATTGACTGTTCAATTTCGAGGCTATCTATGTACAATGCCACGAAGAAACAGACAAATCAACAAACAAACAAAAAATAAAACAAACACAACACACACACGAGCATTATTACCAAAAACCTGAGGTGAAGACACATTGTTTGCACTTTAAACAATCTCGCTCTATTCAGAATAACTCCCAGAAGCTTTAATCTAGCATATAACAAGTACAGTTTTTAAATATTAATTAAACCTTTTGTTTACTAAAACTACAAATATCAAGGAATATTCCAATCTGGCGATTGTAGCTTTACACTTTACAAAAAAAAAAAAAAACTAGTTGGAATTTCTACATACAAAAAAGCTCATACCTTTGAACTGCAAAATTTGATTTTTTCTTTTGAATTATTTTTTCATCATATAGCGAAAATACATGGATTTTAACACAGAAATACTACAAAAACTCCTCTACTTCCAATGTCATCTAGCTTTTTCTATACAAAGATTCTTTTTTTCATCTAACTCAAATAGAATTAAAATACAAATGCACATAATGCAAAACAAATACTCTTTCAGAAAGCAAACTGATATCTATTAGTCTTTAACAGGTATATTTTACTTTCCAACTCTAATACTACAAAAATAACATGGCGCTGAGAACTTATGTCATGCAATTACTTATCAACAGAACATAGATAAAAGACAAATGCTTCAATTTTCTGGCACATGTCGAATTTACTTTTGGCGAGACTTTTATTGTTGCAAAACAACAAAATGCACACCTTGTACATTTCCACAACCGACGTGAAATGAGCATTCAATGTTGGATAATGTGTCTTTATGGCAAATTACTATGTTTATACTATAAAACTTCAAGTTCTGATCAGACTGTAAAACAAAACTATAATAATTTATTTTCCAAAAGAGTTCTTGGACATCACACTGATTACATTCGTATTATGTCATCAAGATTCTTGGTTCAAAGAATCTCTTTCATATCCATGTGCCAATGTCTCTTATTCCAGAATAATCAATATGAACTTTTCTTTTAAAACAAGACAAGTTCAACTTCTTATGGCAATAGATGCTGTTCTGAGTTCCAATGTAGCCAATATCAGATTTTACCTTTATGGCATACAAGTTAAGTTTAACTTCTTATGGCAATAGATATACATACTATGATGAGGGATGATTTGGCAATATTCTTTTCGACGGGTCATTTTATTGCAGCTATAGAATTTTTGGGGCAAAAAAATAGGCGGCACCAAGCACGGTAGACGAATTGAGCACACCTCCTTTCTTTCTGTTTATCAATTATAATGTTTTTGCTACCCCAAAATCGAGGTATCTACTGTGACAAACTGTTCTACTAAATTATAAACATTGAAATCATAGCTACGTATCTACTTCACCTTCCTCAAAATTGTTTTTGAGCATTTGGAGGACCTTCTATCTTTCGAAATCAAGGGAGGAAAAAAAGATTTAATTCTCTCTATTGGTCCTTATTTTTTGTCTTCTTTTTTAGTATCAACCCCATTGCCCGCAGCGGTTACGTGGCCGGGGGTTGTTGTCTGGTAGTTGTTCAACTGTTTTTCCATGTACTTGAGCGACTCCGTAAGGTAGTTCTGAACTGCAGTGAGGGCTGCCACCACAGCAGGACTGCCGAACCCGTGAGTTATGAGGGAGAAATGCGTCAGATGGCGCTGTATGTTAGGATCCAAAATGCTTTGAGGCCTAGTATTGCACAAGGGCGATCTGTCTTGATTTAGTAAATCGGATAACTCTTTTAATGTTTGTCTGAAAAAGAAAGAAATGATTTAACTTCAAATAATCATTTACAAGTTTAAATATAAAGTATAATATAATCTCAGTTCACACGAGAGGTTTCTTGTAACTGCCTGTTACAAAGGACATGGAAATTTGTAGCTAAATATACTACAAAACAATCTTTCATATACAATGGAAATACTATGAGGTTTTTTGTGATTCAGTCACACAAGTTTTAAGTAACCACTTATGTTGATTCTTAATGTCATGTATAATAATTGTAATTCTTACTATAATTCAGGTATCCTTTGAATTGACTAGACAAGAAAAATTTAAATAGATGAATATTAAGTTCATTGAAAGTTTACAAGTATTCAAGCTAACTGTGGTAAGTTATTTTTACAGTCCGCTTCAGTTCTCTTAATACTTGCTAAAGATGATTAGAATAATAAAATATTTTAAAATATACTTTCTGATCATTTTTTTATAATTCCATCTTCCAGAACACTTTCATGTTTCATAACCTCGCGAATGATACACAAATAAATATAATATTAAATGTAATTTCCATATTAAAGTACAAAAATAACCCTACGCAATGGCCAGTGTGAAAATTCATACTTTTGAATGGTAGTCAGTTGTACCCCTAACAAGAGGTCCAAGGGGTCTTAGGTTCGAGACGTGATACTACTAAAAACAATTCGTACTTTCAAATGCTACACTAGTAATACTTAACGAAATTACTGACTGAATATATTTTAAAATGTCAAACTCAGGTATAAACTAAACACAAATCTTAAGAATAAAACTTGAATTGTTTTCAAAAATTGTTGTGGATGAAAGCCTTTCCTCACGCTTGACCAACACCAAATGTTGATAGATTGAATTTGAAACAGTTTTGAACTTAATACTTGTATTTTAATTGTTTTGTGTTTGCTCTCTGTGTGAATGCATGTTTTTATTCTTAGTTGTTATCATAAGCATCAATACATGAAGTGTTTTCGACTAGTATTTTGCAGTAGTACTCGAACAGTCGTTCTAATTTTTCAAGCTCTTCCGTCCTAATGTCCCTCAACTAATAGTGGTAGTTGTCATATACGTATCAGGCTGTTTTTGTGTTTGTTTCCAGAATTACAATAAACAAGAAAAACACTTTCATAGGCCTCTATATTAACTATAGCAGCTTTATCCCGTTTATTTTCAAACGTATACTAGTCAAGTCCTTTTTAAACAGAATTTTTAATCTGACTCTAGTTACACCATTATACACGAATAAACTCCTCCGATGCACAAACGTTTAAAACAAAATAAATAAAACTATCTTAGTTGAAGAAGACCCCTACCCTGCCAAAAGTTATATTTATGTCCCCTAATCCTACTATTTTCACCATTAAGTATGAAAAAAAAAAGATGATGCATTAACATTATCAATTAATTCCCTTTACAATATTAAACACCCCAATAAATAAAATTTGTCGATTACTTAACTCTCAAGATAATAGATAAGCTAGAATCACAAAAAAGCATACAAGATTATGATATACAATCATATTCTCTATATCGTTTTGTATTCAAAGAGTTTGATGAAATTATTTGTAATTATGTATAGCCAAATAAAATCAGCTGCTGTTCTCCGATTCTTTGATAATTATACACGAAGTTAAGGCATTTTTCTAACATGGAACAACTACATAAAATATATCCCTAAAACTTCTAGGATGGTGTGAGAGCCCAAGTTAAAAGCAATGTTAGTCAGTCGTTTCTTTCATGCTTGGTTAAGTTTGATAAATTTATATCGCTGTATAAAAACATTAAAGCTTTAGTTAAACATAATTCTAAATTATCCCTCGTAAAAATAACTTCTTTATGTTTCAGAAGATGAACGTTATGCATCTGCAATCGGTAAAAACAAACGATATATTCGTTAAGTGGGCAAAATAATAATTTTATGATTACATAAACAATTTAGGTGCCACTGTTTATGGACATTATCCATTATATTTACAAAATATTTCGATGGATTTATTATAATACATCTATTTTAATATCGATGTTTGTTTAAATTTAATTTATATTTAGTATATTAATATATACTGTTAAATATGTATTGCGAAACACCTGCCTATTCTCTAAAGTTGTAGAAG